AAATCCTAAATTAGAGAAATTTCAGATATTTATTAACTGGTCCAATGTACTGTGTATAGTCAATTCTATATAGCAATTCTATATAATAGTTTTGCTGATACACATACACACACGTATAGATAAATCTCAGAAACATTTTACTAGGGAAATAATTGCACAGAAGGCTGCTTATGATGGATTTACGGTTACATGAAAGTTTCTAGATCAGGCAAAGGTTAAAGACAGAAACATATCTGCAGTATTGCCAGAGTCTTGGGATGGAGGAATGGTTGACTTCATATGGATGCAAAGCGCAAAGAGGCTTGGTTGCAGAATGGTAAGTGCTAAAACCACGTGAACTACACTCAGCTATACTGTTTTATTTTTTAAAGACAGAGTGCATTTATTTAGCAAAAAGGATACATTTCTGAATTATACAGTGAAAAAAGTAAGTTTCTTAGTGTTTTCATGCTAGGAATTTAGACTATACTTTTAAAATGGGGAAATTGTTCTTACAAAGTTATGCTAAAAGCCACCATAGTACCAGGGTGAAGAAATAACTATTCAGTTTTTTTTTTTTTTTGGCTTTTGAGCCCCAAAAGACAGCATCCCCTGGGCAATTCTTCTCAAGTAAAAGGTTCATGGCTGTCATCTGAAGATTGGATTAAGTGCATGTTAGGATTCAGCACACAGCTAGCAGGACCCAGGCTCTGCAGTCTGATCAAGTTCCAAGATAAGGATGGTGCTGGGTGGTCGCATAACTAGTTAGCATGCCAGAGTTTTGTTCCGTACAGGAATTAACCAGACAGATCGAGATGGGAGCCTACTATAGAGGTCCTCTGAGAGGCTCCACACAACAGGGGATCAAAGCAGATGCTGAGACTCACAGCCAAACTTTGGGCAGAGCGCAGGGAGTCTTATGGAAGAAGATGGAGGTAGGAATAGAAGGACATAGAGGGGACAGGAATCCCATGAAGAGACCAACGAAGCTAAAATATCTGAGCCTAGAGTGTCCTGCAGAGATTGATGCACCAACCAAAGGCCATGCATGGAGAGGACCTAGACCGCCTGCTCAGATGTAGCCTATAGGCAGCTCAATCTCCATGGGGTTCTTTAGTAAGGGGAGCAGGGTCAGTCTCTTTGATCACTAGCTGTGGTGATGCAGCCTTACCAGACCACAGAGAAAGAGGATCCAGGCAGTCCTGATGAGACTTAACAAGCAATGGGCAGGTGGCAATAGTGGAGAACTCCCCCTTTCAGTGGACTAGGGGAAGGGGAGAGGGGGGAAGAAGGAGGGAGGGTGGAACTGGGAGGATTTGGGGGAGGGGACTATAATCAGGATATATGTTGAATAAATTGTGAAAAAATTAAAATAATAAAAATGGTAAGGGTGATGCAACAAGGCTGGCTGGTCAGGATGACCAGACTCTGAAGGTCCATTTGATCTTGTTCACCAGAACCTGAGCATCGGCATCTCTGAGGCTCTTTTAAAATACAGCAGCACAGGGTCTACCCAGAGAGGTCAGACTTCCCGCTGTGACTCTGCTGTGTTGAACAGTTGGCTGTAACAGGTGTCCCCCCTACCCACCCCCCCCACCCCCCGCTCCATCTCCATCACCATTATCTTAGAGTTTCCCCATAATCCAGAGCTCCCAGGTTGTGCTTGGGATCTCTAGCGTGAATAGAAGAAGAAAGATACACATGTCAGTTCTGCTGGTTTTGAATTCTTTTCTTGCACCCATCAACTCCTCAGTTTTGGCTGTGACTCGGTACAGAAGAAACGTGATCAGAAGTGAGGATACTACTTAACATCTGTTGAAAAATTAGGATTTCTTACTGCTCAAAGCATTGTATGTGCACTGTTTTATCTTTACTCTCACAGTTTACTCAAGAAGTCGGCACCATTGTTTTCTCTGTATTATATACAGACAATATAGAGAAGTGACTTCTCCAAATTCCTTTTTCTGTGTGTAAGAGTAGGACATCCATGTGGGATTTAAAGCTAGGTATCAAGACTCTTGGGTCCTTGAGAAGCCGAGACCCAATACTTGCCTTGTACATTCTATACTTAGGTTTGTGCCAGGATTTCTGTCCCAGGCCACTCACTAATCTGTTTGTAGGATCAGTGTTTCACAGCCGAGGGCCTCTGAAATTTGGACCAATTAAATCTTCTAAAATAAACTTGTACTCAATCAGAGTGTTTCTATATTTCAGAACTTCACTCTCTTCTCATTTTTCCAGGCTTTGTTGATGTTGGAGGCTCGCCTCAGTGGTCTTGTTCTGATGGCTTCAGCTAAAAGATGTTTTGTTCCTTTTCTCTGAGAGTTCAGGATCCTGGGACCTGAGTTCTCCTGTATTTCTTATCGGCATCTGAGTTCTTTTCCACCCTCCTTAAGAAAGGGCTCGATGCTGCTCTGAGATTGAGAAGGGTATTTAACTTACTGACCATGTACTTAACCTCTCTAACCTTTATTCTTGGGTTTTAATTAAAGATCGTGTTAAAGATTGACGCTTCCAGTAGTTTTAGTGCTTTATGTATTCCATGTTAGCATAATGTATTTGGAAGGCTGAGTGTAAGGCAGGCCCATTTTTAATTTATCAATGGCACCTTTAGTCTTAATATGCTTAAGCATACTTTACTTTTGAAGGCAGAATTAATCTTTTATCAGACCTACCATGGATGCTTTTGTTTCATTACTTTAGGGAAATGTTCCTGTGATTGTTTTAGAATTAATGTTCTGCACATATTTTTGCTCCCTACTGTCTGTAGAGCATAAAGATACAAATAAGAGTCATCCATACTAAAATAAATACAAAAACAATGGATGTCATTGCTGTCTGAAATCTAACAAAGGTGTTTGATTTCATTTTGGATGAAGAGGGCTGGTGAGATGGCTCAGCAGATAAGAGCACCGGCTCCTCTTCAGGAGGTCATAAGTGTAATTCCCAGTAACCACATGGTAACTCATGACCATTTATAAAGGGGCTCTAGTGCCCTCTTCTGGCATGCAGGTGTACATGCAGACAGAACACTCATTAACAAAACTAAAACACAACTCACACACACATACTCTTTCTCTCTCAATCTCTCTGTCTCTGTGTCTCTCACTCTCTCTATCTATCTGTCTCTCACCCTAATTTTGGATAAAGAAAGTAAATCCAAAAGTAATCATGTGGTAACATGTATTTGTTTTTAACTTGAACCTTTGTGAAACCATAAAGAAAAAAATTCACATAATTACAGAAAAAATATATGTGTATTTCTCCACATATATGTGGAGAAAAGTTTTGGAAATGATTGAGACAGAAATAGAGTTTCATTCTGCCTTTCATTCTTAAAGCAAAGCTGGTTAGGAATATCCAAAACT